GACAGACAGACAGAGGGACAGACACTCTGACAGACAGACAGAGGGACAGACACTCTGACAGACAGACAGAGGGACAGACACTCTGACAGACAGACAGATCGTTTAACAAACACGTACCCGCGGGGCATACAGAGCGTCCACCCAGAAGTCAGTTTGTACTTTCTTCAAGGCCCAGTTCATATCCCAGGTAGACTCGTTAAACGTACCAATCCCGTCCCAGCCTCCAACGTTCGCCACAATTTTCTCCAAGAAGGGCTTGCCTGTTTGGGAAAAGGTTCAACGAAAGAAAATAATTATCATTTTTGAAAATATGATGACTAGATCTATAGTATCTTCAACACGACACGTGCTAGATCTACTTGCTCGATGGTTTATTCTCAACTGAACTGCCGTAATTTGTGAGTGATCACGTGAAAACACATCTTAAATGGTCACGTGATACACACAGATATAAAGGCCATAACTTGCTTAATATAACGATTGCAACCACACACAGTTACTTTCTCTTAACAATACATCACACCCCTCCCCCCCCCTACTCAAACAACTTCCTTACATTATTAGCACAGATGGAAGGATAGCTTATTAAGGCAACAGTCACAACATGTTTATGAAATGAACAATGCAAATAGTAAATGTATACAATACAAGCACAAGAACAATAACATGCTTCTATACCATAAGTATGCCTACAGGACTAATCTGTCTGGGGCTTTTCTTGTCCAATTCTACGCCTTAAACCTTCTTCCTGCTTTGATGTGGGAAGACTGGTAAGCTCATGATCCGAGAACTTTTTAGATGCCGCAATAGATGCGTCACCAAGAGTAACCTGGAATTCTGGAACTAATGGTGGCTCACTACCAGTAAACTGAGACATGTTTTTAGCTTTAGTTGTTGTGTCCGGGTGTTCAGGTTGTTCTTCGTAGTCACGAAGGACTTGCTCATCTGTTCGATCATAGTTGTTCTTGTCGTACTCAGGTACACGATGGTCAATCATGTCAGACCTGGGTCTCTCTCTCTCTCTCACACACAAACCTCGGAGTTGCTCCCGAGTGTAGAGGTCGTTGCAAGCCTGGAAGAACTGTTTGAGCTTCCTCTCAGAGGCCCAGTCCGTCATCCTCTGTACAGGCTTCTCCATGATGGTTTCCAGTTTCTCTTGGTTGCTTGTGTACATATCGTCCAACACGGTGCGGCCTCCTGCAGGTGGGGGTTCAGTGTGTGTGCGTTTGTGTGTGTGTGTGTGTGTGTGTGTGTGCGTTTGTGTGTGTGTGTGTGTGCGCGTTTGTGTTTGTGT